ACAAACTGATTGTATATTTTATCCACAAACCTGCTAAATCAATTTTACGTTCATATATTAAATATATAATTAACATACCAAGTGTAATTTGACTAATGACTATCTAAGATAAATAAATAAAATTTTAATTAATTATGCCATCTATTTTATTTTGTGTGAAATCACTTAATGTTTTAAATTGTTTCATAATCTCTCATGCCAGATACCCCTGTCTGACTGAGATATGAAAATAATATATAGAAAATATATCAAAAAATAAAATGACAATTAAATCATAATATACTAAATAAATTTTATGGTAGTGTAGAAGGCAATAATATTATTAGAGTTTGTCAAAGATAACTAATTGAATTCACAAGTATATTTTGAATCAATATTATATTATACAAGTATTTCAGCGATTTAGTCAAAGTTTATTTTCAACTTCCCGTAGGGTAGTTCTAGTAATGGGCCAAAAATCGAAAATAATTTTTTTTTGCATTTCTCCACGTTCTGAAGGTTTCTGAGCATTTTGGCATACCTCAGAAAAAAAGAATGTGTGTGTGTTTTGTGTGTCCGTAATTTTTCGTTCACGTTTTCGAGCGCACGGATCAACTGATTTGAATGATTCAAAAAATATTCAATTCCTATGGATAGGGAGATGCGCTGATTAGTTTTTGGCAAAGGCAAACTCAGCCGTTACGAAGATAAAGAGCAAAGTCTGCAGAAAATAGAAATCGAGTTTTTGAGAGATCGGAGCATCCGATTTGAATGGTCTAAAAACATTCAATAAGTAATGATTGGGAGAAGTGGTTATTAGTTTTCGGCAAAGGCAGGCCCAGCCATTTCGAAGATACAGAGCTAAATGTACAAAAAATGGCTGTTTTTGATAGAAATAAGCATCCAAATTGAATGATTCAAAAAACTTTCTGCTTGTCTTGACAAAACAATAGCTTTTGGAAAAAAATATTTCATATTTTGTTGTTGTATACAGAAAATAATTCAGATTTGAATTCTGGTTCACGCTAAAGCTCTAAAGACAACTTATATACTCTAAATAAATACTTTTAACTTTGTAATTCAGTTTATAACTAATTCTTATAAACAGTAGACAATATTACAGTATCTATAATAATCTATTTGAAAAATTTAATATTTCTCGAACATTTAATACGGTACGGGAAGTTCCAGCAATATGCTTTAAGGCGCGATGCCTTACATTACCAGTTAAGTGAGCAAATTATATTCTCTCCAAATATTAATGTGTACAAATTACTATTTACGAGAAGTGCTTCTCTATGATGTAAGAGTACAGTAATTTTATATAAGATTTTATTCTATTTCTTCTCTAAGTAAATGAATTTTCATATTTTCCAGAAATATTTCTGTCTCTACAAATATCATTCACTGCACAGTTATCTATACGTGACTTCTTATTAAGTAAAGATTTACCCAAGAAAATTTAAGGACATGACATTTAATCTCATTTTTATTTTGAACAAACAAGTCTCAAGCTAACTGGAAAATATAGCTATCAAAGAGATTTTTAATCTACGTCTCATGGCTGCACGGACTCGGAATAAAAATGTTATATGATAAAAATTAATTTTGTTTCATGAATTAATGAACAGGAAGATATATTTAGATTTATCAAAGGATTATTCGTCTGGTCAAAGTAAATAAGGAAGAACATATTCTTGATAAATCCCAATTACCTATATGGAATTATGTAAAATAAGTTCACTGAAAATTGAAAGGCGGTGGAGCATCCATAAAACGAGTTTGAGTTAATTACACAAGCGAAAAATATTTTTATAATATTTTTTATTTCATCAAAATAAATAATTTTTCATCATAGTAAGTATGATTCTGAAAAAAAAATGGTTTAATTTTTATTTATTAATTTATTTTATTCTGATAAAGTGTAATGCCAAATAATTTTTACCTCTGCACAATTCTAGTATATTCATACTTTCATGAAACATTTTTCCTGCAAAATTCTTCTGTATGTATAAAAATCATTTTAAGGGCATGTATATGACACATAGTTTTATTCGGTTTTTATGAGCCATAACTTCCTCACTTTAATATACCAAAAATTGTACTCAAAGATAATGAACACTGTATTAGATGAAGCAATAAAATGAAATTGGGTAATAAAAATGTTATCCATGAGTCACAGCAGGTTATAGGACATAGTTTTCTCTATAACATGAGTAAATTACTATCGACTTTTACCTTTTAAGTGATAATGTTATGATTAAATTTATATAAATCTGGTTGGGTGCATGGCATCGTGCCTTAAGGCAAATTTCTCGAATTTCCCGTACGATAATTAAAAATCTTGGTACGGAATCCAAAAAAAATTACACAACATTTGTACACATTATTAAAATCTCTATAAAATATCTCATAATTTGATGTACATATGTCCAATACTGCTAAATGACGTTTTTTAACTTATTATATTGAGAGTCCATAACCGCTGGACCTGCCTTCCCAAAAATGTAATCAGTTCTTCATCTTGTCAATACAGGTAAAATGTTTTTTGAATTATTAAAATCGGACTCTTTTTTCTCTTAAAAACTAAGTTACCGTTTCTGGAGGTAAAAAGGAATAATCCTTTTTGCCTCGTATCTTCCGAACGACTAGACCTGCCGTCGCCAAAAACTAATCAGCACGTCTCCTTATCAATACGAATCGAATGTTTTTTGAATTAATCAAATTGGTTGATCGATGTTCTCAAAATCGTCGACGAAAATTTGTATCCGCAAACTCACACACATGCACACACACATACATCTATTTTTTCCAAGGCATGTCAAAATATTGAGAAACCTTTGAAACGTAAAGATATATAAACATTTTCATTTTCGATGTTTTTGCGATTACTATAACTTGTCCTACGGGAAGTTAATAAATTAAATTTTTATAATTATATAAATAAACTTTCATTAACTATAAATGAATACACAAATATAAGCAAAATTCAAATTGGATCATTAATAATCAAGATAATCGGGTGAGCAAAAAATATTATTATTTATAACAACTCAATTTGAAAAATATTTTTGAGTAAAAATACAAGCATCGTACATTTTTGATCATCGATTTAACTTTTGAACAATTTTCCCGATAAACTATGAGATATTCTAAAAAAAGCTAATAAGCGAAATGGCCAAAATGATAGTAAATTACCATTAATATATGCCTTTATGAGTGATAATGTTGGGAATAAATTTATATAGATTGTTTTTATTTCAGTAACAAAATTTTTTTCATTTGTGAACTAATTCATACAAAAACATTGGCAATTTTCGAATCGGATCATTCACGATTAAGATAATTAGATGAGAAAGAAAATGTTGAATTAATTTTTTTCAGATAATTTAATTCTACTTTGATTTGAGTTTTATTAATTCCTTATAGTCTATATATAATAATATAACCCAATTTAAAAGATATTTTAAGTAAAAATACAAGCAACGTACCTTTTCTGATTTAACCTTTAAACAGTTTTTCCCGACAGACGATGAGAAAATCCAAGAAAAGCCAATAACCGGAATTGCCACAATGGTTTCTAATCTGAAAGTCAATTCTCAGTAAATAAGGATTTCCTTTTAAGCTAATGAAAGAAAATTTACTGAAATGAAACTGTGGGGATAAATAAATTAGGATCGAGCTTAATATCTGTTTTACTTAATCATATATATTAACGTATTTTATTTATAGAGATAAGACTGTGAAGGGATAACTGGATCAGGATATATATTCGTTATAAAATCGATACAGTTAATTATTTTGCTATCTTTGCATATACTATTATATCTTCTCTCAAATCCAAAGTTATTTTTTCTTTATGTAATTTATTTAATATGTGCAGAAAATTTTATAACTATTTATTTATTTAATCATATGCAGATATTAAACATTTTGAATAATTTTGAAACTATATAGAGATAACGGTCTTAATTTAAAAAAATGAAACTAAATTTTGCATTTTTTTTTATAAAAGCCGTGTAATCCGATTAATGTTATTTCATATTTTTAGAATGTTTCATAAATTGGAATAAAATGCAATAGGTAACCAAAGCAGCAATCATTTTTAGAACATATATATATATATATATATATATATATATTGAATTGTTGTAAATTATAATTTTTTTTAATTTATAAATATACATTATTTTCATATCTCAGTCAGGCAGAGGTGCCTGGTATGAGAGATTATGAAAAACCGTTTTTATATTTTATATATATAATTCATATTTCATATTTTATATAAATGGCTTTAAATTTTTTTACGATAAGACAATAATTAAAAGTTGAGACTACCTTTGCAACGTGAAATATGTTTTTAAAAACTATACGAACAAATTCTTTACACTTATATATTATTACAACTATAAATTTGGCAAATACATATTTAAAATATATAAAATTTAGATAAAACTTACTAGAAGTTCCAAAGAAAAATATTGACAATTTTCTCAATAATAAGAATCTGAAATTAATTTAGAGCATGATTATTTGAACAGCATCCAAATAATTAATTTATATTGTTGTGTATTTTTAATTATTTCACGAAGTAAATCTAATTAGTCAAGCATATTGTTTTATCAATATGCATTCTAATTAAATATTAATTAAATTTTAGTATTTAATTAACTTTGTTACATATAATTGCATTTTGAGCATAGAGTGCCAAATGCGCTACAATCAAAAATGATTATTAATTTTCAAAACAATTATTGCAGTCAATAGTTGAAAATATCAATTTCAATAAATGAAACAAATTAATTTTAAACAAAACAGTTTTAATAAAATTGTTATAACGTAATCATGCATAAATTATAAAGTAATTCCTCACAAAATTTATATGAATCATGTTTTTCATTATTAATGAAAATGCATTACATATTTAGTATGAATTTTTTTCTAATAAATACAAAAGTTTTATACTAAATTGAATGTAATTTTTATACAGTATTATATTCAAATATTTATATTTGTTGCAGAATATCTCTATCTTGGTAGTGTTGATTTATTCCTGGAGAATTGGAATCAATATCAATAAATACAGTGAGCTTGAGGAAGTTTACTATGGTGAGTAGTAATATATTACATACTAAATATTCAAAGTAATTATTACATTGTACATTACTTGATAATAATTGAAGATTTATTGTTTAATCAATACTATTTGTCCCGATTTCAGAATAGAACTAACATCAACTATCTTTATTTTACTATCACGCAGAGAAATCAAATTATATTGAAATAGTTAAAATTACTGCTAAAATTGAGAGACATTTTCATGAACATTTTATAGGTAATAAATGTAAGGAAATATTAAAATATTTGTGAATTGAATAATTATTTCTATTTTTAGTCATTTACACATTATGATTCAATTTTCAAAAATACTGTAAATTACAAATAATAGCTTCAATGAAGAGCAGAATAGGGCCATAAATTCAAATCTAAAATTCAACTTTATTGATAAAAATTTAGGGCGCTATTTAAATTACTCATAAGGTTGATTAAAAATTACGCCAAATAGTCATTAATACATTTTTTTGTAATATTAGTATGAGTTTTTATAACTTCTCGTAGGGCAACTTGTAGTAATCACAAAAATAAACGAAAATGAAAATTTTTGCATATCTTCACGTTTTAAAGGTTTCTGAACGTTTTGGCATACCTTATAAAAAATGGATGTATGTGTGTGTGTATGTTTGGATACAATTTTTCGTCTACGATTTCGGGCGCACAAATCAACCGATTTGAATAATTCAAAAAACATTCGATTCCTATTGATGAGAAGACGTGCTGATTAGTTTTTAATGGAGGCAGGTCTAGCCGTTTTGCAGATACGTTGCAAAAAGTGCCAATAACGGTAATTCAGTTTTTTAGAGAAGGGAATACCTGATCTGAACGATTCAAAAAACATGTTACTTGTATTGACGAATTGAAGACTTGATGAAATTTTTGGTAAGGCAGGTCTAGCGGTTTCTAGATACAGAAGAAAAAGTAAAAAAAAAGATATTTGGCGGTCAAAAATGATCATTAGACATGCGCATCAAACTATCAGACATTTGATAAAGTTTTTTAAAATGATTAAAATTTTGTTGGGTTCCGTACCAAGATTGTTAATTTTAAAAGTTTACTTATACGGATCAAGCAAATTTCAAAATTTTCAGAATTTTTTTTCCAAATTTTCAAAAATATACAAAATTCTATACTTCAAATATGAATTTTAAATTTGCAATTCAGTTTCACACTGTATATATTATCATAAGAAATATCCTCAGTCGTTATTCTTATCATAAGAAATATATCCTCAGACGGATTTATTTAGCACCTCTTGCTAATGTAAACTTGCTCAAGTGTTTTAAGCGATAAGATCGTCACTGTATATTTTATGAACAATAAAATATATAGTGATTGTAATTATCTATTTGAAAATATTAACAATTGTTATTAATTATTGACCAATATTTATTGATTACTGATTTTTTTCTCCGATTTTTCCTTAATTCTGGTACGGAGAGTTCCTTAAGGCACCTTGCCATGCACCACTAGTTATAACAATTAATAGTCAATATTTATCACATTTCAAAGACGTTCTCAATATTTTACGCTAATTTTATTTGAAAATACATATACTATATACGGCATATTTGTTTTCCTAACAAGGTACGTAATATTACTCAATAGAGTCTCTCTATATAAATCCATATAAATTTTTATCTGCTCGATATCATAACAAATGGCTTTGATGTCGAGTCACGGTGTATCGGCCATAAATATAAGCAGAGGCCATAAGTGTGCTCGGTCGGTCCATGATGTCGCTGGCGAAATATTACCAATATCAGATGAACAATGTCCATAGACCAAGAGTATTTTATATAGGAAATCGGAATCAAATAGTCATGGCTTATATGATGATAACTATAGATATAACCCATGAACTGATAGTCCAAAATACCGACAACTGATTACTGAACGTATATTTATATATACAATAATATATATAACTAATATTTACCGTTTACTCAAAAATAATAATTATTGCCTTTTAAATTACTCTTTGCACCAAAATGCATCAATATGAGCGATGTTAAATGTAGAACTGCTTTAAATAAAATAATAAGCTCAATGTCCGCACTATATCAGAAATTGAAGGGTATAACAAATTTAAAAAAATAATAATAGTACCGCGGTAAAAGTACAATATTACCTTGGATGTTTCACCCAAAGTAATTGCTTGCCCATAATTTTTATAATCGTGTATCATATTTTAACTGGTTTTTAGTAATTTTAGTAACAATATAATATACATTATTACCAGGGATGCTTGCAGAGTCCTTAGCGCCCGCATGCCGTTTTTTGTTTCTAGCGCACCCCCTATAATTTTACCTGTTTCAACAGTTTATTATTAAAATTATCATTATTAATTAATATTTGGCTTTTGAAACATTTTACTTATTTATTTTGTAAATTTTATGCTATTTAATCAAATCATAGAGAGCAAAACAATTCTAGCCTTTCATTATTAAACATAACCATAACATAACACTGTTATCTGTTTAACGTATTTTAAAAATATTGTGAAAATATTAGTAAAAGATGCAAAAAAAATTTTTGAAAATTTCATATCTGAATCTTGTGTAGGCGTTGTATTTTTCGCATGCATCGCATTCAAGGTAGGACCGGCCCTGATTAAAACTTAATTTCATATTTTAAGTGAATTAATTTGTCAAATCCTGTTCATATGTGTATCATTCAATCTGCCATACATGAACTGTATCTCAAATTATTTTCATTTCTGCCACATTTCAGCTGCTTTTTGGCAATAATAATGTAGATATTTCATTTTTCTTATTCATAATTATGAATTTATTATGCATATTTTTTATTGGCAAATGACAGTTTTCATTTGTTTTCAATGCCAAACAAAGTCTCAAATATTTTCAATGTCAAACAATGATATGGCGTTTTTTGCAATTTTTTCCATTAATTTCTACAAAATTATCTTAATACACTTCCGAAAGATTGATCAAAATCCGAATAATCGTTCATGAGGAGTATGTTTACATGCATTATTACAAAAGAATTATATATATATATATATATATATATATATATATATATATATATATATATATATATATGCAATTTTAATTGAATAAGATTATTAAATTAATTAATATCAATATGAATACCACATGAATAAGGTAAGCATTTGTAGTGAAATATATGTATTTGATCTAGGGAAGTTGAATATTTCAAATACCAGATCTTTCTCTATATTCCCTCCGTATTATTGGTACGTTCCATCTTATGTTTATCAAATAAATCACATTCGAATAACAAAACTGAGACCAGATATCGTAATATTTTCTACATTATATCAATATATATTGCAGTATTGGATAGTATGCTGAATAAATCGTTATCGGAATTTGATAGCCAGAGATAATCTATGTGATATAGAGATCATCTTTAGAAAGATTTATAGATATATTTAAAACAGCGGCGCCTGGGTATACATTTATAATGTTTACCTGTCAATAATATAGTTCCAAATTTATGTGATGTTTCATATAGCATAATATTAGTTGATTTATGTGCAACAGAGAATGATGGGTTTGGAATATATTACAGATTATTAATTACCAGAGTTTATAACTATTGTTACGTTAGCATTGACATCATTATATAATACAATTAACATATGTTGCATATGCAATATTCTCAATCAAGTCTAGAAGTTCGATAACTACAAGTAAATTTTTCGTTCATTCTAAATTAAAATTTGTAAAACTAAAAATTATGTTGATATTAAGTTTATATAATATACCAAAATGTATAAAGTTTTTATTCCTTACAGTTTATGCCTGTTTTCTCTAATAATTTCTAGTAGAATCATTGGATATTCATGTTACAGAACGAAACGTTTCTATTCATTACTTTATATTACAGGTCACGTTCTTTTGACAAAAGCATCAATATGTAAGTACGTGTAGCATTTGTAAGAAAGTGCACTTTTGAAAGCTAATACACAAGTAGCAAGTGCTGCATTTCTGGATTATTTCTAGAACGAGCAAAAAAAAATTATATCTATTGATGCAAATTTGAGTGGACTACAAATAAGTCGCGAGTACGATTTTATGATATTTTAATTCATTTGATATTCGATGCTCACTGAAATTTTTGTTTCTCTAATTTATCTATTTTTTATGTAAGCTGGTAATTGATTTTACTAAATCGACAATCTTTGAAATATATACAATAAATATATAAATTATTAATAATTTATAATCACCAACAAACCAATAAATTTATTTGTTCTTTTCGAATTTAGATGTAGCACATGACATATTTTTCATATTTGTAGTTTTGTGAACAAACATAGACCGTTTCTGTATCTTGAATTGTTGAAAGTTAAAAAAGATGATGCATTTATTTAATGTTTGTTGTGTTTCCAAAAGCTGGTAAAAATACGGTGGAGCGATCTACTACCTTTTGCCCTACATTTTAATTATGACTTGCCTGATATAACTTAATAAATATAAATAATAAATAATATTTGGACTGAATGATTAACTAAAAATAACTATAGTTTGACTAAAATAACTATAGTTTGACTAAAATAATTTGAATAAACTTCACACGGCTTTAAAATAAAATTATTATTATTTGTTATAGTTTGCTTATGCATATATAAATATAGGAAATACATACATCGCATTCTCATGCTTAATATAGTTTTGATGTTTTATGGCAACTATTTAAGTTGAAAATCCGATGCAACACAATATCGACGTCCTGTATAGCTCTTGCAATTGCCAATTCAACTATTGCATCTGAATCTATGAAAGAGATACTCTGAAACGTGATTCGTAAGTTAAATAGGAGTTCTTGAAAGCCATAACAAAAGTTTATTCAAGTCATTCTTACACATGGCAACATATTTTGAAGAGATTCTATTGCAATTTTGACCAAATTAGAATATATCTATCAGGAAAATAAATCCACCAATAAAAACTTGAAGTAATTATATTATGTCGTTTGTCGAAATATTTTATTTATGGATCATGAATTAATATGCTTGGCTTACATTTCATCAATTTCGAAATTGCAAAATTTATTATTTATCATAGAAAAAAATTTAATCCATGATATATTATATTATATAATATGCCAATAATTAAACAATAATATTGTTATTCTAAAGTATTTGCTTCAATACATTTAATTTAATTTTATCTATATAGATTTATTTATGTTGTTTCATAATATTCTATTTTTCATTTGTTTGTCAACAGCGCAATACGAGAAATTTATTGCATTATTAGCTTTTATAACAAGAAGAATATTTTTATTACAAGACATGAAGAGAAGCTAATAATATGAAATCCTTTATTATAGTGAATTGTTTCTGAATAAAATAAAGTATGTTTTCATTCTTATCATTCCGGCTTATTGACATCGTTATTGAAGTTTTTGTACAGAAACATATCATGTTTTGAGAAGTAAAATTCTTTGTTTACGACAGAATATAGAACAACGTTTGTTTAATTTGATTCTTTAGAGAAATGTTTTACGAAAAATTGGAATGATGTTATTACATAGCATTTATAAAGTCCTATTGGATTTATATAGTAGAAATTGCGTTTATTCGAATGCAATTATGGAATACATCATTTCTAAAGCTTGTGCACCGGGACAGTGAATTTTAATCAGTAAAGAATATATTACCAAGTTATATAAATAAATTTTCTTATAAAAATAAAATGTTCTAAAGTTTTTTAAAGCATAATAAACATCAGCAGCTTGTGTGAAAACGGAAAATACCTAAAGAGGGTATTTTTATATGGAAAGTAGGCGGTGCACTCAAAACCCATAAAAAGGACTTAAAGATTCCCTATGTATAAAAACACAAACCCGATCGTAAAATTTAGCGATAGTCGAAGACTAAAAGCGGATCCAATTCAAATTTACCACGTGTGTCTGCTGCACAGAAGTTTAAGTGCTAGTTGCCATAAAAGTCCTTTTAGTGCCTTTTGATTATACTTAGATCGTCTATTTTATTTATATATTTATAGTTTATTTCATGAAAATCAATCTTAATCAAATTGAAATTGAAATGAACATATCTAAACATTATTTCACTTTGCTATTGAAATTATTACAACTCGTATTTATAACATAAAATTTAATAAAGCAGAGATGGTTCTAAGCAAATTAATGGAATGGTATAAGAAATTTTGAACGTGAAACTCTCTCAGTGCATTTTATACTTTTGAAATATCCAATAAGCAATCATATTTTGAATATAACATTGCTGAGTTATGAAGTACTTATTATATACAACACGTTTATCACATAAATAATATATACATAAATACATAAATATAAAAATGATTTATTTATGGTATCATTGAAATACCCTCATATAAAATATATTATGGTAATATGATTATGCTAAGAAGAATAGGCAATAATATGCGGAAATTTGATTTTATTATTATATTACAAAATTTAGGTTTATGTTTCACTAATACAAGTATTTCTACCTACTTGTGGGTATAAGGGTATTAATCTCTATATATAAACCAGAGCATATGTTAGCGGTTTTTAGCAAGATTGCTCCTCTACCTCTGCTCCCATCTCTAGTATAGGTTAATATCCTCCTAGCCTATCGGAATGATGGATGAATGTGAAGATTTTCTTGCTTCGGAGCAATCAATCATTGCTCCATTGTCTCCTTGTAACGTGTCACTTGTAATTATATCCAAGGTTCCGATTTTGTGAGAACAATAAATTTATTTTCTCTTAGGTGCGTGAGTCTCAAAAAACACCTTGCTTAATTAAAACTAAATATTTCATATTGAGAAAATAAGAAACATTTCAATATTAAAAATGTCATGACAAAGAGCTAATATTTAAAATTCTATAATTATTGTAGTTTTTATACTGTTGGCAGTGTTGGCTATTGCTATCAAATATAAATTATATTAAAAAATCTCATCAAGACATGTTATATGTTTGGAATAAATTTGACTATTAAATTTTTTTCCAATTCGTGCTTTGAAAATTGTATAGTAATTGGTGCATTATATTTTCGTGTTTTTTGATTTTTTTTTCAAATTATTTGTATGTATTTTCAATTAATGGGCGTTCACCCAAGAACAACTTTATTTACACACACACACACACACACACATATATATATATATATATATATACAGAGCCGGTCATGGGTCCTCAGCGCCCGCATGCAATTTTTTTCTAGCGCCCCCCCTTATTATTTTAACTGTTTTAACACTTTTTCATTAAAATTGTAGGAAGATTTACGTTATTTTTTTAAATACTTTTTAATAACTTTGGATTTAGTACACAAAAAATTAGATATATAATATAAAAGCACATTGATTTTAAATTTTTTTGAATATCGTGGCGATTAGCGGGTTCTTCATAATCACTATCAAACTACTTCTAAATTCTTAGTTTTAATCCAAATTTTGTAGGACTTCCAAATATTTCAGTATATTTATTATAATTGAAATAATATTTTTGAAAAAATTTACTTATTTATTTTGGAGATTTTATGAGATTTATTCTATTAAACACATCATGTAAAGCAAAAAAATTCTAGCCTTTTGTTATTAAACATAACACTGGCGCTTTATGTTGGATTATTTTATTTTGATTTTTCATTATTTAAAATATCCAAAATTGCATCTTAAATATTGCTCAAAAATTAGTGAAAAATGCAAAGAAATTATATGTTTCTTGAATTATATTGAAAAAAAAAACTATATTGAAAATTTCATTACCGAGTCTCGTTTTGGCGCCCTCTAAGGCGTGCGCCCGCATTTTTTGCATGCATCGCATTCAAGGTAGGACCGGCCCTGTATATATATATATATATATATATATATATATTTACATATATTATATTAATTCTATTATATAACTATTATGGATGCATTTAGAATGAATATTATTTATCCGAAAAAGTTGTTGTGATTTTGTACGATTGCTGAACGAATGTTTTCCAATATAAATAAATGATTTATATTTTTATTATTATTTTGGCAGTAAATCAGTTGCTAAAATGTCAAATACCGATTTAACATAATCCATAAATCATTTTTTGTTGTCAGGGGTTCAAATGGCGTATCTGGCAATAATAGTCACGCAACTTTGCATGGTAATCCTGAGCATGATGCTGCTATTTGGAATTTATAAGGTAAGCCGTATTGAATATTTACTAATAATATTTTTTACATATATACTTATATTATATATATATTATATATATATATATATATATATATATATATATATATATATAACGAATTCTCTATACTGTGAATTCAAAAAAGCTATTTTAAAAGCATGACATAGGCTGAATGAGAGAAAAATTATTGAATTTATTATATACAATCTAAGCCTTGAAATGAAATAAATTCTTAAAATGCAATTATGTATAAATAAATTTGTACTGAAATAATTTTTTCATTTAGTTGCTGTCGATCATTCAGTTCTTATACATTGAGTTGCCAATATACGATTTATTTGAATTTTTGAGTTGAGTTGCCAATATGAGACTTATTCATGCCCAATTATATTTACTTGAAACTGAGTTTTTTCTGCTTATGTTCGAATGAAATCATTCTCAGTTAGTTTGCCTCTAAACATAGTCCATTTACGGAGCAAAACCTAAAGTTATACGAAGTCCCAAAAGTTCTGTGAAATAATATATAAATTAGAACTCGGAACATGTAATTGAATTCCACTTCCAGATAATATAAATCGTAGTTTCACAAACAGAAAGGATAGTAATATACATAGATTACTAGACACACAGGCATACATACATTAACATATATATATATATATATATATATATATATATAACTGAAAACTACTTTGTATTGTTTAATCTGTTTAATTTAAATAGTAAAGCATACTTAAATATAAATAAAAGTAAAAGGACTGCTTACCAATAAACGTAAAAGAAACATAATATCATATATTTAATAATATTATTAGGGTAGGGCGGGGCTAGTTGAGCAAATTTTTACTTAAACGGATGTAGCTCCTCAATGAAAAGTCTCAATAAATTGCTATACGGCTTAATGGATTTGTTGTTTATCGCTTAACAAAAGTGTTAATACTATTTTTTGGTAATATGTAAAATTTAAAAGCTACAGCTGTTTAAATGCAAAAAGTCAAGTATGCTCAATGTACCCCATAAATGGGGCAAGTTGAGCACTAAGAAAGTATAATGAAATCATAGGTTCAATGTCGATTAGTGATGAAATGAAATAAGTTTTATTTTTCTATAGTTATATATAGTTCTATATTTATAGTCTTTATTGACAGAGAAGACAAAACTTATAATAATTTGCTTTGAATAACTAACGAAAAATAGAATCAACTTAACAATATCGTATCTTAGGAAATATTTTACCATTATATTCAGTATTTTTGTTTAAAATCATTATTTCTTTATATTATTACTCATAGAGTTAGCTTAAATCTTAAAAATAATATTAAAAATAAAAAATAAATCTTAAAAATTAAATTTCTGGAAGTTAATGGTAATTGTCTTAGCGACAGAACAAGTTTAGCCACTATGCTCAACTAGCCCCGCCCTACCCTACACAAATTTTTGATACTTGATTTTGATTGCCTTTCAGTTTTGCAGTATTTATTTATCTTATTATTTAAATATATTGTTAAATGAATTTATAATTCATAACATATTATGAGACTATAATAAAGACAGATAAAACAACGTATATTTTTTATGCGTTTTTATACATATATGTGTGTTAGTTGTGTGCGTGCATACAAATTTTCGTCGACGATTCGATTCCTACTGATAAGGGGACGTGCTGATTAGTTTTTGGCAAATGCAGGTCTAGTCGTTTCGGAGATACGAGGCAAAAAGTGCCAAAAATGGTATTCCCGTTTTTGAAATAACGGAGCACCCGATTTGAATAATTCAAAAAATATTTTAATTGACGAAATGAACAGCTGGTGAAATTTTTGTAAAGACAGGCCCAGCGTCTCAAAATAATCCTATTAGGCATCAGATATTTTATAAAGATTATAATAATAAGTACAAATTTTGTGTAAATTTATATGGGTTCTGTATCAATTTTTACACAATAGACGATTACGCGGCGCTTACGCGCTTGATATTTCGACTCTAAATCAGCTATGCAGCGCGATCAAATAAAAAAGTGTTCACAATTTTCAAAAAAAATCAAAATACAAAAAAATCAAAATAAAAAAAAATCAAATTTTTCAAAATAGTAATTTTTTTTAGAAATCTTAAACTTTCTCAAAAATATATTTTTTTTTCGAGGTTTTGCAAAGTATTTTATTTTTCAGTACAGAAAGTTCTAGCAATTTGCCTTAAGGCATTGAAAAGTTAGAAACAATTTGTACGATATGATGTGTATAATAATTATTGTTGTTATTTTATTTTCAATAATACGCACTACTTAAAAAATGTTTTGGTTATTCCTAGAAAAAGATCAAAGTATGTGAAAATGTCAATTTTTTTCTACAAAATAAATGTAACTGCATTTGTTGAAGCAAATATGAACAAATAAGCATGCATGGATGATATTTTACACGTTTTTCTTTAATAGTGAAATTTATAGAAAACTAAAATGATTTTATTAATAAAATTCTATGGTTCCTGAATTTTGCTCGCCCATTCATCCCATTGTGAGAGATCCTTTTCTTCCTGTTTTCAGATTTCAAACATGCGGATTGCTTCGCATAAATTTACTTGGCGCAATCTAACGAACTTAGAATCTTTGTCTTTTGTTAGTGGAGTGTATTTATGCAAATGAACATTTTCAGTGCAATTGAATTACTTAGATGAACTAATTGTGAAATGTAAGAATACTTCGAGAACTTTCGAACTGGAATATAAAAGAAAGTTTACCTTTGGTTCACATAAAATTATTGTCAAAGAATGCGGAGATTGTTGTAAAATTAGGTTATTCGTAGTGAATTTAAATATTTGAAAATAATATTCACTTCAAATTCTAAATTGCATTATTATTATTAATAAAGTTACTTACATTCAGATAAATACCTATATAGGTCTTAAATGTAACGAACTTGAAATGCTATTATTAGATTGTACATGATTTTGTCTATAAATTCAAGATTGAGGTGAAAATTTCAAATACAAAAAACAGATATACTAATATTCATTATTTAAACCATAATGATTTTTTCAAAAAAAAATCCAATAATTTTTTTTATTCAATTTTAGTTTATAAATCAAAGCTTTAGAACAGATTGACATTATTATAAAAAGATTTGTTACAATATATAATAAATAATAGACCGATTATTTGAAAAATGTTCGTTTTTCTGTTATCAGATCATTTAGCTGAAAAAATGTTCTTTCAATTTATAATGAATAAAGTTCATTTGATAATAATTAATTTCAGTCTGTCAGTCAGAAACATTGTCTGGTGTAAGTTGTCTGACGAAAAAAATTTCAATTTTCTGCTATTTACGAAGAAACGGCTTGGGTGATCGTCGCGCAAAATTGATAAACGCTAGTTCTCGAGATACATAGAAAGGCTTTTAAATTTTTTAAATCGGCCTAGCCGTTTTTAAGAAAACGTCTATTTACGGCAAAATATCTGTTCACACACACATACTTTTTCCAAATTTGGTCTCATTCGATTCAGTATGACTTGAAACGTCCGCAAAACACAAAATTAGCAAATCGTGTTTTTTATGGAAACAAACACTTCTCCTTCGGGATGTTAAAAATCGTAAATATATTTTATGATAATTTCTTTGAAAATGAAGCATTTTTATGTCAGGTACGATCTCACTTCTTTACATAACGCTTTAATCCTTATAAAAGCATTTTGTTAATTAAAATGTTTATTAAGAAAAAATCCTAACAAGCAATAAACTTGCGACTAATTTTTTTTGCCTGTTATCTTATTTAAGAAGCATTATATACACGTGCAATTTTCAGAATAAAGAACTTTTAAATGATGAAGTATATAAATACGTTTTTATTTAATAATAAAAACCTTAATGTCTTAAAAATATTATTGATAATATTGCAGACATATTTCTATATCACCAATAGATAGAATTTTCATAATATAAACAACAATTTATTTGAATTAAATATGGAATATATAATATAGAATTGATATTAGTGTTTTAAAAATATTTGTAATGAATAAATTTATATGATATACATGAAGATCTATCGAAATTTTAGTAGCCAAATTAAATTCTTGTAGCATGAAAGTTTTTAGATTCTGTCTGTATTTTTACAAAAATGAAACATTTGTACAAAATGAATCACACTGCTACACTTTCATATTACACATATTACTTAAAATCATAATGTATTCTATTCCAATTTCCAGCAATATCTTTGATGTTTTTTTTTCAAAAGTTAGTCCTAAAATTTGCGCTGTATTAGTCAGAAACCACTTATTTTAAAGAAAGCGGTTGTATTCTGTCGGAGAATTTAATATAGAAGTTTCTCCTTTTTTCCTTTCTGTTATTTTATGAATAGAAAATATCGAAATAAAAAAACTTTGCGGAATGTTTGAAGAATTTCATGAGTCTGCACATTTTTTTGAACACGTCAGCAAATGCGAGAAGATATGTGCTTTATATACTATTTTATTAGGCACCTTGAAATTTGAGGTAGAATGTTTGTATGGAACTCATTATTTATATTATTAGTTTTAATTCTAAATAATATAAATTTCAATTTCGACTGATTAAGTCAATTCTTACTAGGCTAAATGCCACTTTCAACTAGTTAATATATATTTTATCTTTATTACTGGTTATTAACTATGGATAATACTGTCAATTAACTGAATAAAAATTAAATCTTATTTTTATGTACAACAAAAATTAGTTTTTATTTTAATGCAAAATATTATCAATAGATTTTTTTATATTTTACCATGCTTTAATATGGTGCATGCTGTGAAAAAATGCAAAAATATAATTTTTGAAAATTCTTTCCCAGAGCTGGAACTATTAATTCAATTATAAAATTCATAACTGAATCAAATTACCTTACCTCCATAATGCAAGTTTGGTATCGAGTGAGTGCAACAAAAGTTAATATAATAAATCATTTACATGTCAAGACTAATACACACGAAATAATATTACTGAGTGAAAATTTTAGCCAAGATAGATATGTTAGTGAAACTTTTGTATAAACAGAAAGTTGAACAAGTTTAAATTGAATCTGTGTAGTTTAAACTGATTGCATTATAAAACTTGGAGATTACAAAATAAAATAATTGAACGAGAATCGATTTCAATCAGAAATGAAATGAAACATTATTGACATAAAGCGATAGGATTGGATATTAAACAAGCCAGGAAATATATAGTAATTTAATATCTTCTGGATGAGAAAAGTGGATACTTGGAATTGGTAATAAATGAAATGTAGGTTAATATAGTAATTTATTTTGCATTGAAAATCTGTACTAAGTTATTTTAGTAGAGAAAAGAAATATATAGACTAAAATACATATCATGTTTTTGCAATAGATTTTCTTCAGAATTAATAAAATTGAGGGTTTTTCATAAAGTTTTTGAACGCGGTATTATAAACTTTTCTTAGGGTGATATAAGTAATCGCAAACCGTCTCTATGCAGCTAACGCAGTTTTGAAAAAAAGTTCCTAAATTTGCAAAGTATTTCAAAATTTTTCAAAAATTTAAAATTTCTCCAAAATATTTTTTGAGTTCAAAAAAAAATTCAATCTTTTAAAAAAAAAAACTAATTTTTAGCACTGGAATTTCCAGTAATTTGGCTAAAGGCACAATGCTATACACCATTAATTGAAATTATATTTAGAAAATCTTTTAATTGAAACATAATTACTCGCATCATGAGGTAGATATTATAAGTAAGAAAATATATTCACAAAAGTATAATAAAAATATAATAATTTTATCTAGACGCATACGTTATTAGACTTGAAATAAAATCTGATTGAAACATAAATAATATGAGTTGTAATCAAATTATAATATAAATATATTTGCAAAATTTTCAGTAAAGAAATTAATGAAAATAATAATGTTTTAGATGATATAGGTATACTAAATGAAAATATATTTTACTACTATTTTTACTATTTTTTCAGTTATTGTTATCTACTATAATAATATTTTATGATTTGATTTATGAATTGTATGATAATGTTGATTTTAAAGTATAAAGTTAACATTATCATAATATATATATATATATATATATATATATATATATATATATATATATATATATATATATAATTCTCTCTCATATCTCTTTGTACTCATAATGTAATTTTGGAATTAACATACCATAATGGTAATCCTAATACTTTGTATCATATATGATGAACATTCCGAAATTCAGGAACGTATTTTGAATTATTCTGCCAAATTAAATAACAAAATTATTCATTACTAAATTAAATTTAATACTATAAAGCATTGTGCCTTGAAGCAAATTGCTTGAACTTCTCTTTTTTTTAATCTTTGAAAAAGTTAGATTTTTGAGAAATTTTACAATTTTTGAAAAAAATTGTATTTTTTTTATTTTGAAATATTTTGGAAATTTTGAACTATTTTTCTTAGCAATCGCAATGCTATAGCTGCATAGAGATGAATTATTGAAGCGCGTAAGCGCCGCGTTGCAGTTCAGCGGATAGACGATGATGCAAAACCTACAGAATTGTAATCAAAATTGATACATATTATTAAAATCTTTATGAAATATCTTTATAATATATCATATTGCATATGTTTAATCATTATTTTTGACTGCCCAATTGTCCCGAATCGTCTCCCCAAAAATTTATTCAGTTCTTCATCTTGTCAATACAAGTAAAATGTTTTAGATTTATCAAAATCGGACGCACCATTCTCTTAAAAACTGAGTTATCGTTTTTGGAACTTTTTGCTTCGTATCTTCAAAACGGCTAGATCTGCCTTTGCCAAAAACTAATCAGCTCGTCTCCTTATCAATACAAATCCAATGTTTTTTGAACTATTCAAATCGGTTGATTTGCGTTTCCAAAATCGTCGACAAAATTTTGTATTCGCACACACACTCATACAAACACACACCATCACACATACATCCATTTTTCCTAAGGTATGCCAAAATGCTCAGAAACCTCTGAAACATAAAGATATATAAATAATTTCATTTTTGATTTTTTTGCGATTACTATAACTTAACCTACGGGAAGTTAGTAATTGTATTTAATTTTGAGATTTGAGATAGAATTAACAAGGAATATAATTTTAATCATAGTTTTTATAAATACTTTTATATGTTGTCTATGACTGATGTCATAACTTTGTTACCCCGATATTAAAACTGATAAAATGTGCTATTGAAGAGTAAACTCTATATAATCATTACTAATAATATTGTATATTGAGGATATATTCGGTAAAAATTTGACTCAAGTAAACTCATCTTCAATTTTATTACTATTCATAATAATATTTTTGAGATCTACATTATGACATATTTTAAAATATTAAATATTTTAACTCTAGTCTTTACATGGTTTAAACCATTTTACCCTAAAATTCAAATAAGTTAGACACTTTTAGGATATCAAGAATTTTCTAAGAAAATTATATAATGAGTTGGTATACATCATACAAACACAGTAAAATGATTAATATTAAATTATTTTCCTTAAAGAAAATATGTCGCATGCAGACTTGGGTTTGTTTTTATTTGTCAGAACTAATTTGTAATAATTTTGAACAAAATAAAATAAAAGAACAAAAATATTTTTTTACAAAATTTTATTAATATATGTTTTATCGAAGTA